CTCTGATGTGTGGGACAACAAAATGAAATAGGTCGCATTACTTCTGGAGCTCCCTTCATATTTGCTGAAACTACACGCAACTGTCACTACTACTATCTCGTAGCCTCAGCTACTAGATAGGGCTTCAATGCTTACAAGATACTCCATTTAGCAATTAATTTACATATTTTATTACAACAAACGAGACTGTCTGATCATTGCTCTAATCCTAAATTGAAAATTCCAAATACTAACAAAAAAAGAATCCTGCTCTTCATCCACCAACTTAAATATGCGCTATTTGATATGGTCTGTCCATTTATACTGTTGACTTCATCCACTAATGAAAGAGTAGGACTCTAAAGAAACAGAGCAACACTATAAAGCAACCTAACTCCAGGTAATTTTAGTTGCTCTGATAAATACTTACTTTTTTCTTTTTTTTTTTTTTTAGCAGTTATGGCCTGGCGCAGTTTCAAACCATTAACATGTTTCACACATTCCACCTAGGCAACTTAGTATACACAAAAATATTCCTCTGATTAATGCGATGGTGTTACACTTCTGAAAGCTAGCTACTGAGCGACTGAGTGTCTGACAGAGCTATGCAGAATCAAATGCACTGAAACACCCAGAGAGCGGTCACCTAGTGTTGATACAGGTGGCCTATCTCCCTCAGTTGGAAGTGCTCTGAGAAGCTTTAACATCAAAGCAACCTGGCAATTTCAATTTCATTCTTCTAGTTTCAATAAATCACATGAAGACCAGCTCCAGAGAAGCTGTATGCATATGACAGAGGACACACATTCTTCTAAACATCTAGGCAATTAAAAATATTTCCGGGACAAAAAGAGGGAGAACTGCCAACTCATGCTAAAACACTATACACAAAGAGGGAGGAGACTGCACAAATATTGCACAGCCGCGCTTCAGAAAACTGAGCATCCAACTGCAGGCCAAGCATAAACATACCAATGGGACTGCAGATGGAAGCACGATGAGTCTCAGTATCAGTCACAGCCTGTAGGTGCGCAAGAAAACGCATCCTACATTGATTAGAGCAAGAGCCTTCACAAAGCTGAGATTACTAACCCTGCACACAGCCAGCCCTTACACGTTGCAAGAACTCCTGGAAAAAAAAAAAAAAAAGAAAGGAATCTTCCTCACAATCAGTCTCATAAGCTAAAGGTAACACAATCAATTGAAAAAAGTGACACAAGGTGAATGTCAAAGCCAATTTAAACATGCATTTTTATGTCACATAGCTTCCCGAAAATTTAACATGCACAGCATTACACAGAAACCAGCTTCAATTGTACATAAAGCTTCCAAAAGTTTAATCAATTTAACACATTTAGTGGATATGTATGACTGGCTTAGATATGGCTTACTTTGGTTAACCTGAAATGGTTTAATAACCTTACAGTTAGTAAGAGTAAGTCTGCATCAGGTGATTTAAAAATCAAACTTAGGTTGAAGCTTATGCTACGCTTCCTACATCGTGCTAAGAAAACAGCAATTCAGTTCTAACGAACGCTTTTTATTTTCCTATATTAGCACAGGGGTACTCAAAGTGACAAAACCTAGTTATTCATAGTGGAAATACTGCAGGAAAGTGTTCCTCCATTTTACATCACTGTTTTGATATAACGCATACTCAGTAGCAAGCACCCGATGTTTTATGACAACATCCTAATTAGGAGTTGGGAATGTTTGGCCATGTGACTTGAATGCCCGAAACTCAGTCATAAGAATCAAAGCCATTTATAGTCCGTACTACTCATTTAGAATTTCTGATACCACAAACAAACTAACCCAATCCCCCAAACTGTACCTGACTGACCTGAAAACTGCAATGTGCAGCACTTTGCAAGCACAATTCTAGCAGCAACAATACAGGTCTCCGAACCTCACATCCTGAAAATAATCTCTCAATGACCAGCAGACACCTGCAGCCAGCAGATGACAGGCCCAAAAACACCGCAGAGAAAGTACATTTTCCTCACACCCTCCACTAAAAAATAAAATTACATCTACTCATCTGCTTTTAAAAGTAGTACACACATGCAGTCCTAGAAAGGCTTGGGTTGGAAGGGACCTTAAAGATCATCTAGTTCCAACCCTGTGCCGTGGGCAGAGACGCATGAAGTCCAATGATGACCTTCAAGACCTTTACAGTAAATAAGCTATAACTTGTTTTATTTAATAAAATTTATTTATTATATTTATTATAATAAATAATTTATTTATTAAATGAGCACATTTTTAGCAAGTTCTTAGAAGACAGCAGCTAAATACTGTGCAAGAAATGTACACAGCGCTCCATTTTTCCAAATAAATCACTTCAGGTTTCCTACATCTACTCCTATCAAAAACTTAAAGAAACAGAGAGAGCTTTCCAAAGCACAAGACCCAGCACTCCATTTCTACTGTGCCATTTCAGCTGTGAACTGATGACAACAACTGCATTAAACAATTAAGGATCTCCCTCCAAACTCAGCACTGGTGAGGACACAACTTTTGAGCACCGTGTTCAGTTTTGTGCCCCTCGCTACAAGAAGACATTGAGAACCTGGAGAAGGGCAAGAAAGCTGGAGCACAAGTCTTATGGAGGAGCAGCTGAGGGAACTGGGATTGTTCCTCAAGAGGAGGCTCACAGGAGGTCTTATTCCTATCTACAACTACATGAGAGAGGCTGCGGCGAGGTGGAGGTTGGTCTGTTCTCCTGTGTAATTAGCAATAGGACTGGAGGAAATGGCCTCAAGTTATGCCGGGCAAGGTTCAGGTTGGATATTAGGAAAAACTTCTCAGAGTGGTAAAGCATTCCAACAGGCTGTTCCAGGCTCCAAGAACCATGCAGATGTAGCACATGAAGATCTACATCTGCAGATGTACATGGAGAACCATGCAGATGTAGACATGGTAGGGATGAGTTGGTGGATGATCTTGGCAGCCTTTTACAACCTTAATGATTCTACAGTTCCACAGTGTTTTGGATTTATTTCACACCAGTGCTTTAAAAAACATAATATTCCATTACACTGATGACCAAACCAGCAAAACGGAAAGCAAAATATTTTGCCTAGTGTTACCTAGAAGGCCAAGGAAAAAGCAAGAACCTGATAACAATTCTTCCAGGGTTCAATGCAGAACTCTTTCTATTTACGGATTCTTCTTTGGCGTATTTCGTCACTATGCATTCAGTGCAATTCAACATCTCCTTCCTTCTGTGTTCACCTTTTCACTATGTCAAAACACACACAGATTGTGCTAAAGATCTTCCAAAATGTTGCAGTAACAATTCTGAACAATAACCCATTCCAAGAAGACAGACAAGACTCATCACTCAACATCCACAAACCTATATTTATGCTTGTTTCTGATAACAGCAGTACCCTTTGACATTAAAAAAAGTGCATGTTTAGACACTACTGTACTTTTCTTGAAAGACATTTGCCCATATCAGCAAGGAAGCAGAAGTCCCCACTCCCTTTCATTTCTACACAAAAAACTGCCAACAGCATTACAAAGATTCCTCAGCCAAGTTTTGCAAGTTCAAGATCCTGCCTACTGTCTTTGCCATCACTGCAAAACAAGCAAGAATACACTTCTTGTCCTGCCTTCTGTCATTTTTTGGAGAGGGGAAAAAACTGTGCCAACAGAAGGAAACCCTCCTTGTTTGACACTGGTTTCTAAACCCACAGTAGTGTCTGGCCAGCACTGTAAGGCAGGCGGAGGCTTCACAAGGCAGACAGAGAAGGCGAAACTTCTAGCAGGTGTCACCTGCCCTGTGTTTGTTGACAGCATGTGCAAAGGTACAAAGAGGAAAGGAATGTATAGGAATGGCGCTGTCTTCACTGATTTAACACACCTGCTTACTGCCAAGGTGAACCATTGCCAACGAAACAGTTAAAAGATTAAAAAATTTGGAGCACAATTTTATTTCAGTGGAGAGAAAGGAATAAAAACACGTGGTTTATTCTCAGGACGAAATGCTGGCTTTTCAAATGAAAAGTTGACTTCTTACATTAACTTGAACATTACTTTTATCCAAGATGAAAATACGCCACGTATTTGTTTAACGTTTATCTCCCACACCAAAACTTCAAATCTAACACACTTGTGTACCAAGAAAGCACATCATGAATCGCCTCATTGAATTTTAATACCCTGCACAAAACAAAACTTAAGAGTCAGAATTAAACAAGGCTGCAAACAGAACACGGGACCAGGCTGCAGCTCTGGTTTATTTCCACGCAGCGTACGCTTTGTGAAGTCAGCATTCTCCAAACGCTAAGAACAACCATTGTTTATGCAGAACCAGATGGATCTACACGATTTTTTTTTTTTCTCTTTTTTTCTTTTTTGTCTCGACAAACGTTTGCTTACTGCTAGGTTTCAGCAGAGACGCACGGTAAAATCCGACGGGCAGCCGAGCAGCAAGCAGTAAGCAGGCTGACGGCTTACGGGAACGGCGGCCGCGATGTCTCAGACCCGTTCCACGACGACTCCGGATCGACCGAGCTCCGAAGGACGGCTCAGCAACAACCCCAACTCATCGTTTAACGTTTCCCCCGCGTTTTCCCCACGGAAACGCGCCCGCAGCCCTGAGCACAGATGGAGCGGAGCGACAAACCGTGCCCCGCGCAGGGCCGCCCGCCGTCCCTCCGGACACGCCGGTACAAAGGCGGCTGGAGGCGCGGGCATTGTCCGGGACCGCCGAGCGACGACGGACGCCGGAGCCGGGGCCGCCGCCCGGGGTCTCCCGCACGGCGCCCCCCGGCCCCGCCCGGCAGCCCCCGAGCGCGGTGCGAGGAGGAGCTCGGCGAGGCTCGGCGCCGCCCGCCCCGCGCCGCACGCCGCTACCCGCCTCCCCCGCGCCCGGCCCGCTCGCCAGGCCCGACCACCGCTGCTCCCCGGGGCAGCCCCGCAGCCCAGCCCGCCGCGCCGGCGGACGCGCCGCCCGCCCCTCGCCGCGCCCGCCCGCTTCGCCGCGGGAACGGCTGGCGGCGCTTCCCTACCCAGAAGCTCTCCGCGAAGTACGCCATCATCATCCCGCCGTCGCCGCCCCGGCCGCAGCTCGCCCGGCCCGGCCCCAACCGCCGAGACGCGACGGAGGAAGCAGGCGCCGCCGCCACGCGCCGCCCTTCCCGTCACGGCGCGCCGCCTCCCTCCGCACGGCGGCACCGCCCCGCCGCGCACGCGCGTGGGCGAGGCGGGCCGAGGCGGCTTCTGCGCAGGTGCCGCCGGACCGCGCCCGGGGCGGGGCGGTGCGTGGCCCGGGTGTGCGCGGAACGCGGCGCTGGGTGAACCTTGCGGCCGTTGGGCTCGCGCCGGCTGGAGCGGCGCCTCGGGGCGGCGTTGGGAGCGGAGCGAAACGCTGCGAGGCGTCGGCAGCCGTGCTGTCACCGCCTGCGGTGCTCCCGCCCGGCTGCTGCGGTCCCGAGGCCTCGCCCAGTCTTGCTGCCCTCTGTCCGAAAATACAGCCGAACGCCGAGCTTGCTCGGGAGCCGGTGTATCCACGGCACCGCGGATAGTCTGTTTTTGTGGCCTTTCTGCCGATTAAAGACCTCTGTCAGATCCAGATGGTTAGGAAAAACACAGTGCAGGAGATTACAGAAACGCAGGCTTTAATTAGGAGGGAGAAAAAATACACGAGGGCAAACAAGACACCTAAATTAGCATCCCTTGTGTCTGTACGAGTGGCTGTAACTCATTCTGCCTTACAAAATTTCAGCTCCTTTTACTGAGGTAACCGCCCCTGGTGACTGCAGCTTTCCTGCTTCGCTCCCTGCAGCTCCGCTCAGCGCCTCTCCTTCCAGCAGCATCCTCCTAACTTCCAGTACATGCAAAGTGCTCACAGCTGCCAAGACAGAAAACCTCCGGACCCTTTCCGTAGTCAAAACTTGTTCAGAAGTCCCAAGGCTGTTAGATCTGGATATCTCCATAATAATTCCAAGCATGTGCACTGTGATTCTAAACGAGAAGCATATGCTACATTTAAGATAAACCATGTGTCTGCTGATAGAACTAAGCTGCCTTGATGTTCCTGGCCTAACGATACGAATGTAGTTCTTTTTTTGCGCTGTGCGTTGCTATCTGTAAGAATGTGTACTGGGACAAGCAGTGAAGTCAAAGTTGCATGATAGGAGCTGAAGGTTTTGTTTTTCTGTGGAATGTATCTTCTCACAGGAGTACGTACTATGCAATGATGCAAGGAGAATCAAGTTCCTATCTCTAGTTTTAAGAAAAGACTTCATCTTCCACATTTTCAAAGGTATACAATAATTCCTTATCTATTGCTGCAGCAAGATGGAAAGCAACTATTGCTGTGCTGCAGCAATCTGTTATCACACAAGCATTCAGATCTATCTGTGCTTTTTACACATTATTAACGACAACAGCAACAACAAAAAGTAAAATGCAGAACGTTAGACCAAACTTCAAGGCTTCCTGCAGCATAGGTAGTTATGTAGAAGACCACTTTTATAAGGCTGAAGGTCAGGATCAGTGCTTATGTTCTTAAGGCACACTGAAATTATCCACAACAAAATTAATTTCTTCATAAATGGACTTTCTCTTGAACTCCATATACAAATTACAAAATGCACTCTAACAGCAACAAAGGGCTGTTTTCAAAATTTACCAACTTACCTGCAGATCTTGTCTCTTACTGTGTATTTACAGTAGCATTTCTGAAAAAATGCTTGCTGAAGCCTGTTAAACACTTGTTTGGAGACAGGGCTGGATAAGGAAATCCGAGATTTTCTATAATTTTTCTTAATGAGATGCTGAGTATTATGCTGTGAACATGACTGAAAAATTAGCTCATGTGCTACCATGTCAATATCCAGTCACTCTCTACAGTTTGTCAGACAAGCTTCTTGCCTAATACCTAGCAGCAAGAGAGTTATTAGCCAAAGTAAGCAGTCAGTGTCTTGCAAATTCAATTGCAAATTTGGTATAAAAACACATCTAGGGAGGTGGTGGGAAGGGGATTTTATGTGCTGTTTCAGAAACGAGGCAATTTATTGAGATCTTTCTCAAAGGAAACTGGACAAATTTTCAAGGTTTTCAGAGAAATCCATAATGGGTGACTGACTACAGAAGCTAATACTGTCGCTCAATACTGAAAGTCTGTGAAAAAACTTTGCAAAAATATTGCTTATAGTTCTTATCTCTTCCCCCGGTATTGGTTTACAGTGGTTGCCAAGGAAGGATACTGGGTTAGTTAGCTGCTGTCCCGGTACAATTGTTCCTTTGTTCTTATAGCACAATGGGAGTGGACAAAAAGGAATGCTATTCTGATAGCCGTAACTATATGTGAGTATTGCAGAATAAAACAAATATTCCCATTGCATGCTATCACAAGCTCTCATGGAAGGTTCAAGTAATTTTCTGGATTAATATTATATATACATTTATACTTCAGAGTTTAAAAAAGCACTTCCTCTCTCATTCTGTCATCTACATAAGGTTGAAGTATGATAACAATATGAAGAGGTGAGCAGATTTCTTGGCTACAAGGTGGCCCATCGTGGGGATCTAGACATGCTGGATCACTAGACTGAGGCCAATGGGATGAAGTTCAGCAAGACCAAGTGCTAGGTCCTGCACTTTTGGCACAAATCCCAGCAAATCCCAGCCATGCTATGGGCTTCAGGCAGAGCGGCTGGAAGACTGTGTAGAAGAAGTGGATCTGGGGGTGCTGGTCAACACTTGGCTGAACATGAGCCAGCAGCATGCCCAGGTGGCCAACGGCATCCCGGCTTGTATCAGAAATAGTGATGCCAGCAGGAGCAGGGAAGTAATTGTCCCTCTACACTCAGCTCGGGTGAAGCCGCACCTCAAAACTGGGCTCAGTTTTGAGCCCCTCACTGCAAGAAAGACATCGAGACCCTGGAGCATGTTCAGAGAAGGGCAACAAAGCTGGTGAGGAGTCGAGAAGCACAAGTCTTGTGAGGAGAGGCTGGGGGAGCTGGGATGGTTTAGTTTGGAGGAGGCTCACAGGAGGTCTTATTCCTATCTACAACTACCTGAGAGAGGTTGTGGCGAGGTGGGGGTTGGTCTGTTCTCCTGTGTAACTAGCAATAGGACTAGAGGAAATGGCTTCAAGTTGCACCAGGGGAGATTCAGGTTGGATATTAGGAAAAATTTATTCTCTGAAAGAGTGGCCAGGCCCTTGTACAGACTGCCTAGGGAGATGGTGGAGTCAACGTCACTGGAGGTGTTCAAGAAATGTTTAGATGTGGTACTGAGGAATACGGTTTAGTGGGGAAATGGCAGTGGTAGGTAGATGGCTGGACTGGATGACCATGGAGGTCTTTTCCAACCTTGGTGATTCTAAGATACTATGAATAGTTGAATTTTCATTCGAATGAATGAATAGTTATTTTTCATTCGTACAATCCTCACTTTTGTAAAACAATGCCATTTGGCATTAATGTAGGTTACGTCCATGTGAAAGCAGGTCTTCAGCTTATAGTTCCTCTCTCAGAAAAGCATTATTGATTCCACAGTTTGCTTTCTTCATCTCAATTTACCTATCCTCCTGTATTTCCATCTTCTGATTTTTTGTGTTAATGCTATAACATTATGTTATACAGTCTTTTTAAGGACTACAGAGTATCTGAGAAAACACACTATAATAGATAAGGCTTATTGGAAGAACTTTTGAAATGCAATACCAAAGCTATGGTGCATCTAGACTACTGACTTTAATATAACTGAAAAACAAAAGTTATGTGTTGCATTCTACCATGGAAACTAAATTAATTTGCTTTATGTTTAAGCCATTTAAAAATTGATTACGAATTCCAGAATAAGTGGATTATGAAGCCAGAATAACTGCATGCAATTATTGAGTATACCCTTGGTACATGAACCTACAAGTGAAGATGAAAACAGAATGAAGAAACCAAATAACTAGAATTAAATTAGGCTACTGTTACATTACTTAATGTCATAATGAAATGCCAAAGAGATAGCTGATATTTTAAAGTGTTTGTACATTAAAAATTACTAAGAAACCAATGCAGGTATAATACATAATCTCACTGTGCTACTATTTAAAGAGAAAGTGAAAATGGAGTTGGAGTTATCTTTTCCAGACAAATACATACCAGATTGAAATACACCTTTGGAATGCATTTGCTTTTCTTTTCTAAAAATATTCCACAAAGGATCTTTCATAAGAAAGAAGAATTTACACTGTGAGTTCAGACAGATTACAAAAGGGTATGAGCACCAGAAGGAGATACGAAAACACAAGAGGTTTTTGTTGTTGTTGTTGCTTTACCACTGTAAAGGAGAACAACACATGGGGAAAGAGGAAGACAGTGAATTGCTAGGAAAATCTCTTTCATGTGGTAAGGATTAAGTTCTGTTGTAGGATTTCAAAATCAGCAGGGCTACATTCTAGCCACACAATTGTACCTGGCTGGCTGCAGACATTACCCAAAAGCTTAATAATTCACTTGCTTATGACCTAGCCGATAGAGATTTATTGCAGCCTGTTGTTTTTTTGTTTGCTTTTTTTAGTTCAAAAACTGCAGTGAAATTTCATCGACAGTAATAAAAGCTAGAAAAACCTAAAAACTTAAAATCTGGCCAGTGGTAAGTTACTCAAAGAGTACTGAAAATTCTGCATCACGGTCTTAACATACACACAGTACTTTTCTGAAATGTATGCATGAACTGAAGGTCTCCTGTGATGAGCGATCACAGGTGAGATTATGGCATAGATTTCAATTCTGGGCAGAGTGGATGTTTCTATTACTTCTGAACTTAAGAAAAGTTGTGCATACAGAGCTATAGATAATCACATTTATTACAATAAGAAATCAGCTGAATGTTAGTTTGTTTTTTCCAACTTGTGGTAACGGCTCTTTCAAATCTAATAATGACTTTTTCTACTCTGTTAAACCATTCACTACCAAGCTTCAACTGCACTGTTTTCAGCATCACTGGAATGATGTATTCCATTAGGCTGCATAATCCGACTCACTGTATACTTAAAAGTGTGCCTCTATTGATTTAGTCACCACGCTTGATCGCATCCCATTCATTACTTCAATTACTTGAATTATGAACCCAACAGCATTGTTTCAGAGTGAGTCACTGAGTGCCAATACTGCACCTTTATTAGTCTTCCGCTTGCATTGCCAAAATCTTGTTTCATCAGATCAGCTAAATCTGACGGAAGCATGATTTAACACCAGTAACTAATAAACTGCAGTTCAAAGGCTGTAAACTTCATTTTGACACTCTCTAAGAAGTCTTTAGCCCTGAATGAAAAGTTTTGAGTGAATTCTAGTATATTCAAGAGATGCATTACTACAGATTTGCCATCTGTCTCTCTGCAGTGCTGGGCAATAACATGATGAATTATTACACTGTGACATGCATGATATTGCATGCATACTTTTTAAGGACTTACCTGGAAAAATATGTTAATCAATAAACTTGGAGCAGCTTGCAATCCAATGAAAAATGACCTAAATGAAATGAAGACTTAATTGCTTAAAAGATCTGAATTAAATGTAAAGCAAACAAATCTGAAGTACTTAGTGGATCAAGTTCTGTGTTACCTCCCTTCATACCAAAATCTCTACTGCACCTACACATAAGCAAGCTGCGATCTTCAAGTCAAAGATCTTTTCCAATTTGATTATGAAATACAGTAGAAATAGAAAAGACAGCTCATAATTACTACTGTACTAACAAACAGGAAATGTAAAGTCTCAGGGATGAGATTCATGAAGCGCAGTAAATAAAATAATGAAAAAATATTAATCTGGGCTGAGATTTTTTGCTGTCTAGTCATTGAGAATGCTGTGAAAGAGATAAAAATAAACAAGTACAGGTACTAAAGTAGGGCTGCATGCTAAAAATCTGAGCAATGGGCAGGATAGGCAGTGAACAGGTTGTGTTTAGGACGAAATCATGCTATGTAAAAATATAGCCCTTGATTGTTTTACAGCATCCAGAGACAGACATCTCAGCATCTGCTAATGGAAGATACTAACTTGATCAGTTGGAAAACTGGCTTGAACTTCATAGTGTTCTTAACCTCTTGATTAAAAATCCTAAAGCATAAATGTTTATGAATACATGCAGACGGGTATTAGTAATAATTTACAGGGCCTCCTGTCTCCACGCATGTGTGTGGAGATGACACATCCTGTTGTCATTTAAGATTATGAAGGGGCTTTTTGGTGTGTTTGCTTGAGAGCATCTGTGAGATGCCTACGGCTCGTAATTAGACAAAGCTCTGAGTTATGCCAGTGGCCAATTACTTGCTTCTGGCCTCTTCAGATCTCCCCACACCCATTCTAAATACTGCCATTTCACATACTGAGAAACACAGCTGAATGAATGCTTGCAGAAAGTGAGAGCTGTGTACAAGGTTCCAGCTTTTATATGGTTTTCACCCAAGACAACAGTTTTAATGAATAAAGCCTTCAAAATTCAAGAGGACTGGAGTAAGGAAAATGAACACTGGTTATTTCTCTTAGGAAGAGTGCTGGAAAAAGCAACACAGCTTTCTTGCCCTAAGGCATGTAAAGAATCAAAAGAAAACCTGAATTCTTGTTTAGTCAGGTAGTTCATCTGCTCTTCCAAAGTACTTCTGACACTATAAGGTGTAGGTATTTACAGACCTAGGATTATTTTGGACACAGATCCAAAATGTTTTTTTCAGCAAGCATATTCCATAATGAAAATGGCCAGAAATATGAAAAATGACTTAAATTTTGTTTTCAGATACCATCAAGTTAAAAGAGGGCAGTACAAGATGTCTTGTGTCAAGATGCATTTCTAGGAAGGAAAACACAGAAAAGCTCAGAGTCATAAAATTTAAATTAAATATTTTCCAATTTAAAGGTCACATTCTGAGTTTTGAAACTGAGGAATCCTTCAGAATCCTTCTGAAAGACACAGAATCATCTAAACAAGCCAATGTAAATGTAAGTCCATAAGTATATTGACAAAAATTTGAATTAAGTTTGTTTAACACATTGGATATTCCTTAACAATCATTTCAAGATAAAAAGACTAACTCAATGCCATTGCTTCTCATTGTGTACAGTAATATAATTGGCATCTGCAGTAAGTTCTGGGGGAGCAGACTGGAATAATGAACAGCTAAATAAATAGAACTTAATGACAGTATTAATGCAATAGTTACACATTCAAGTTAACATATATGCTGGAAGCAAAGGAGAACTAGACCAAAGTTCCTAGGTACGTTTAGTAGTGAAAATTTACAACTATCCCCTCTGAGCAGAGGGCAATAGGAAAAAGTCAAAAAGTTGTCAACATAGCACTTTCATATTTAAAATATGGAAATAAAACATGTCAACTAAGATTTGAAAAAATTATTTGTACCTGAAGCTACAAAACAGAATGCTAAAGTGTTCACTTTCACAATTCTAATGTAAGCCTGGCAAAAACAAACAAAATACAACCAACCAAAAAAGCAAACAAAAACCCCTCAAGGCTGTGTGATTCCAAAGTGGATCCTTGTATGTTTTCATTTATACACACTAAAGTAAGCATGCAGTGTAACTACATCTATTTTCCTTAAAGTAGACTGATCAGTGAAAAAAGCATCAAGTCTACCAATACACAGATCAATATTTGAGTGTCTTTTGGAAGGTTTCAGAAGTATATATTGTTCTTTTTATGTAGAACAAGGGCAAATGCCTTTGAAAGAAATGGGCTTTACATGTTAGTAACTTATATAAGCAGCATGCTTCATTCTGAGTCATGCTGGGATAACAGAAGCTAATAACCATACTGTGAACATGAGATAATATTTTATGAACAAAATATTCCTACTGAAATGCTTTACTTTTCACTTAAAAAAAAAAAAAAAAAAAAAGAGGAACAGCATGACAGATGGTGAAAGGAAAATCCTTTGCACTCTTGCAATCTGACTGCAAACATAGTCATTTCTTCTATTCAAGATGCTAGTACTTAATCTGCTCATCTCTTGTATGTGTAAAATAGTCATTAGGCCCAGACTCAAAATTAGAGGCCACAGCTAAACATCAGGATCTGAGTCAATGAAGCTAAATACTTAGTGCGTGTACCTTGATGACAAGCAGGGTTCTACCAGAGGTACCCTATAACAAAAGGAGAGGAGGGGCTATTTGAAAGGAAACTCTCCTCTGTCCCAGCCACTCAGTAAAGTCATAAGTGCATCAAGTCTTACAGATGGGAGGAATTCACCTCTCTAATGAACTGGACACCAACAGTGCTGTTAATAGCTATTCCATGGCTTTCTTCTCTCTTTGAGGCAAAAATCTACATCTGTATGTTAAACAGAATTTTAATAGAAATAGCACACTCAGCTATTTTTTTTTTAATGTCAAGAAAACATTTTATTGAATTTAATCATTACACTATCAAAGCTGTTGGTGCTAACCATGCATAATCAAATTGTCAGTTTGTAAGGTGTGAAATATTGAGCATGAGTTGTTCAAATCAACCTATATGGATTTTGCCCCACTGGATTTCACTGTTAATCTTACGCTTTCTTTTTACACTCTTGTATCAAGAAGTTATAGGCGTGGATGACCAGATCTTTAAATTGTTTGTATGATCACATTCCTATAAAAGCTAGACAAATTAGATTAAGTCCACTGCGAGGTTTCATTGAAAGTCTTGATTAACTTTTATTAATTTTCACTTTTCTGCTATTTTTATTCAGGTTATTGATAACGAGTCATGACATCTGTCCCGCCCCAAACTCCCTTCCTGAACATCTGCTATTTCAAATAAAAGTGAGTTCATCACGTAATTTCTCAGCAGTAAAGCAGTTAACTCTTATGACCCAAAAGAAACTAATTCAAGCAGGTAAACCTATTATGTCTGCACTGATCGGCCCCTAGGAGGCACAAAGCATTTAAACTGAATTGACCAAAACTTATTGAAAAAAGATTGGATAAACTGAAAATCCATCTAAATTAAAGAGCAAATTTCAGAACTAACATATCTCAACTGAAAGAGTGCACTTATGGCCCAGGAAATATAAAACAAAACACAAAATTTTCATTTTTCATTAAAAATTGGAATGCAAGATCTATATTTAAACAACTTTATTAACATAGTCAAGCAGTGATTAACATTCACATCTATTATGTCACATCATACAAACGTAAATACAAAATTACTACAGTACAATATATATTCTCTGCATGATCCAAAATATTTGGTGGCCCCAAAAACTCTTTAAAATTCAGCAGCTTATCAAAAATTAAAACCATATTCTATTCAAAATGAAGTTTTGTTAGCACAGAGGCAGACTTCAAGAAAGATCACTCAATTTAGTACAGTTTGAGAAGTTGCAGGATATGTTTGAAGGAAACATTCCAACATTGTGGCTGATACAGAAACATCAGATTTAAAGCTTTCAAGCAAAACATACAACCTAAGTTGTCAGCAGAAAGATCCAGTCATCTTTCACTTTAAAACTGTTCATATACTGCATCCAATTTAAGATTTTGGAAGTGTTTAGTATTAGTAAGTCAGACAGCATACAACATACCTACCTATCTACTCCCATGAAAAAAGATAATATTACACTGAAGACTTCACCAGCCAAATATACCTAGTCATACTAATATTTTTAAATATCCCCATAAAAAATCACCCAGGCCTTCTCTGTTTTGTTTCTCACCTAACGTAAGTAAAGAGATACCTAAGGTGAAAGTAGCACAATAGAATTGATTATAGAAAAACGATACTATAAGTGCTGAATTCTTAGAGATGTGGATTTGGCTTACTTAAAAAGTATACTGTAACACCACAAAGGGATACATATTTTATAGAGCCATTTTAACTTCCCTCACATACATACATTCAAGTGAGTAAGCATCCTTATTATTTTAACAGAATATACTCCATAAGGCAAGCAACAAGAGTACTCACCTCAGAGTTTCCCCATTTAAAATAATCTAAAACTGGCTTGCTCCAACCATAAGTGCAAAGAACAAGCATCAGTGACAGACAAAAAACAGCTTCTATTGGAGAAGAACACCTACTAGACTGATGGATGCAAGTCATCTGGAGAATGCATAGGTGAGTGCAATACACAGCTACTGATCAAGCTTCATTTACTCAAGATGAGGTTACTGGAAATATTTATGTAATACATAACAAATACGTATGCAAATTACATCAGCATCTATGTGAGATAACTGCAAGACTTTTTATTTTTCTTATTTTTTAATTTACGGCAGTCATTTCACTGCTGAGCTTAACCTTTATCTGAGATAAAAAGTTACTCTTCAGACCCTATATAGAAGCTTTATGCATCTATTATCCCCATGAAAGTACTGAAGCAATTAGTGTTAAGTTGCAAGTTCTTTCCTTGACAAAATCTGAAACAAAAGATTTCCAATACAATGTTGCATTTAAAGCATTTTTTTAAGAAATATTTCAGTTGTTTGAATATGGATGCATTCTCCTCAAGGGAAGAATGTTTTTGCACCTTTATCTGTTAATACATTCAATATGAATAAAATAGGTGAAGCAAAAGTCATTATTGTCCCACAGTAGAAGGTTAATTTAGATTAAGTTTAAGACAGAGAAGCTGCCTACCATGAAATACATGAACTGATATAATTAAGACACATTTTTATAAGCATGTGTTCTGAACAAAAAGGGTACAAGAGTATTCACCTGAGATAAAGCTAGTATTTGAGTGTTCCTAAGTAGCAATGAGTTTCGCTTGAGGAAAGCCACTTGAAGTTTTAAAATATACATTTTACTATTATACAATATATGCAGTTTAATTAAGATTGATGCTAACATAAAAGTCCTAACAAAACAAAACAACAACAAAAAGAAATCACAGTGTATCAATATAGTTAGTTACAAAATTATGCTACTTTGTAACTTTAAAAAATTATGATTATAAATTTTAAACCCATTCTCCTAGAAGTGTATCTTCTGAGTACAAGCATTAACGAGCAATAAACTAAAGCATAAGAATCAGCTCATTACAATTTAACTATATACATATTCATCGATTTAGAAAATAATCAAGCTTTGGAAAAAAATTACAAAATTGATTATTTTTGCTTGCACTGGTTATAATAATGAACTATTGTAATCTTTTTCTTTTTTTTTTCCTAAAAGAAAAGAACAATTTCCTGAATGTGTAATGAAGCAAATTTAGAATTGAACTTTACTTAAGTATAATTTAATATCAATTTAGAACTGCCAAAAAGATGCTTTTACAAGGATTTTAAATATACTTTCTGTTACCAACTTAGGTTGATCAGCAGCTTTTGTTCATTCTTAGAATCCTTCAAAAAGGGAAACTCAAAACAGGAGAAAGGCATATATAAAAACAGTAAACACTGACCTCCTGAGGTTTCTACAACAAAAATATTCAAGTAGAAAATCTACACCATTACTTAGCAGCGGCTATTTCTGTAGTTTAGCACACTAACAGCACTTTATTCAGTGTGTAAGGAGCAAATGAAGTAAGCCGTGCTTTTAGCATGCCAAGAGGCAGAAAACACTGGAATGTAACAAAGACAAACTCACAATTCTACCAGTATAAACATTCAGTCAACATTCAAAAACTGTCAAGACTACACCACAAGAATTAAGATGCTTTTTATATATCCCATGATGCAATAATGGAATTATAACTGTTAATGCAGATTTGGAACTTTTCTTACCTCCCATTATACCTTAAATGGCTTCTGCAAATTCCTGCACTATATTATGCATACAGAATATGGTTTATTTGCTTTTAAACATACCATGAAAAAACTTACTGATACAAAAGACTACTTTGCCAGTAAAGTTAATTCCTGCCTTATTTTAATTACTTTACTTGCTGTTCTGCCAGATCAGCTCACATGTGTACAAATACCTATTAAAATATGTATGTACAAAAGTGGTATTCTAAATGAATCTGAGATGAGGTGGTTTTATTTGGTTAAAGGGGCTTTCTTGAATTTAATAAGTTTAACTAACCTCAGATTCTAGTCATAATGCTATATATTACTTAGTTGTTTTTTATTTTATGAAATTTTTAATGCCATTTCTCTGAAATTCGTACCTAATGCTTAAACACACTCAAAATTAAAGCAAGTTTGGGTCTAAAATAATACCCCATCTTGCTAAATTATTTCTTCTAGAATTGGGTTTTTAATTGTTTCCAGTGACTAAAACTATTTCTAATTTATTTCAGTTATTAGTTCAGAAGAAATTTAGTACTTGCTAAAAAGCAATGTAATTTGAAAGCAATTTATCACATGCAATTTTGCAAAAAATACTACGTACTAGCATCATTGAATGTACTTCATACAGTACATGTCCAAACTTCAAGCGTAAAAAGAACAAAGTGGGGGGTGGAGGTGCATGTAAAATGTTCATGCTATCATGCATTAAGAAAAAAAATTTCCTGTCTAAACATGATTTTTAAGTTCACACTCACACAGTTCAAGCTTCAGTGCAATAGCTAAATCATTCAGCACTCAGAGAATAGAACCATGCAAAGAAGATAAGTTTTTAAAAAAGAACAACAACAACAAAAAAAAACAAAAACCAAAACCAAAACTCAAAACAAAAGAAAAAAACCTGTTATCCAGTATCCATTCTGCAATGCAAAGGTGAGAAACTAAATCTATAAAAAGGCTGTTATGGCTTAATTTTGTTTTGCGGATTAATTATGCAGCACTTGAAAAATGGAAAGGTGTGGCTTCACCTCTGACCAGCAGAGTTAAAAATCTCTCCATTTTCCTTTATCATCATGGGATACTCTTTAGGCAATCTAAATTAATAAAGACTTGCCACTTTCAGATGGACACAAGATCAAGTGTACCAGTTAGAATTTCACATTCACAGTACATAAGAAAATACACATGGAAGGAAAAGTAAAGGGTTAACTTAACAAGGATTTATTCACAGGAATACATGTAAGTAGAGAAAAAAAAAACACAACAGAAAAGCTAAACAAATGAAATGAAGAGGATCCAAACCAACTTTCACTCTGTAGCTTTAAACTTGCACCCTTGTGCATTTAACTACATCACAAAGGGCCACCAACATGCGCCGATACAGTGTAGATACCCTGCATTATTACATCCATTAACTTAAACATCTCATTAAGATCATGCTTTGAACAAAAAGAAAGCATAGAAGATAATATGTTGAGTGGGAATAAACACAAATATAGCAATCATGTCATCAACTTCTACAACTGTCTTTACGTGCCAACTAACATTTATGCAGCCTTTAACAGGTCTTACCATGTAACTCATTTTCAGAGATTCTGATAAAATCACTAGTATATAACCATGCAGAAAGCACATCACACTGACAGCACAGAGGCAAGTATTTTGCACAGCTATATCAGCTTTCCACATTGTGCAGGTTACACACAATACAATATCAATCTTATTCTTAACAGATCCTAAAAGGTATTTCAAGGCCTAATTGTTAACTACAGTACTTTATATCTATATTCTTAATAAAAATAAAATCCACAGAATCTTAGAAAAGGAACTTTAAATGCAGGGCTATACTGAATTGGTAAACTGCAACACAAAACTGGCGCAACATAGGTAAATGTATACCAATTTCACTCTATGTGATGCAAGCATGCTACTTCCCCACTAATTTAAATTACTTCTGATCACTATGAGCCAGAACGCATGCCTGAACCTTAAACTGCACGTTAAGAATAATGCCTTACTCTAGAAATTAAATCTAATGAAGTACAATAATCAAATCATATCCACTACCTTAAATTCTTCTTAATGTAAAAATTAAGATGTCAATCTCTCCTTTGAAGTGTCCCTCCCTTTACCCCAAAAATGAAAGGAGTGATTCATTTGGCAGCTTGCAGGTTGCTTCATTTTTCCTAAGTAAACCCTAATTAATTGGTGTTTCTATATCATATACTGCAAGTGCCTGTTCCTAATGCAGACACAAGCTGCATTTTAACTGTACTAACTTCATTTGTGTAGTTCTTCATTAACATGCAAATTCCTAGGAATCCCATCAAGCAGGATGAAATAATGTAGAAAATCCTTACTAAAAAAAAAAAAAAAAGAAAAAAAGAAAAAAAAAGAAAAAAAAAGCCTTTTACTGTTTGTGACCCCCATTCTTAGGTTTCCTTTATTGTGCGCAAAATAGTTTTCCTCTTTACTTATCCCTATGGTTCAATTATATGGTTCTTATTTTGGTGCAAATCCCCACAATATTCCAGAATGTGCTGTTTTGTGAAAAGATTCTTTTTTTTCTTCTTCACATCCAGTGCAGAGTTGTAATAGGAGACAGATTTCCACCCACAAAGGCTCCAGATGTTAAAACATTTCCCAACATCGACTTAATACAGTGACGGCAACACCTCCCTCCCGCCCCTCCCAGTAGGGTTGGGATTGTACTGTATTCCCTACTGGTTTACCCTTCCCCCCAGTAAAGGGTAACATTTTCCCTGGGTGCAGAGGCTCCCTCATAGTCTCCCAGACTGAAGGACCTGTAAAGGAAAAAATAAAGGTGTAGTCAAACCTTACTTTGAAATCTGAATGACAGACCTGTGCATAAAAAGAGCCTTTTTTTTTTTTTTTTTTTAAGCAGTAGGTACCAACCTAAGCTTAAAAGTGAATTTGTACCTAGATGTTCCCTTTATGAGTCTGCTTAAACAAAGAGTCGATTTTTAACAGGAAGACTATTATTCCTTACAACAGTGTATACTTTAAGGCTACAATGACATTTCCAATACTGCATCTAAGCTTAGATTTAAGATGAAAACAGCTGTATGTACTTTAAAAAGATTTTGCCTTTTCAGTACAAGATTATGAGGCAGTCATGATGGCCAGGAAGTATTAAGCTTATGTTCTTCTAACATAACAATTTGACTTTTAGGTAGATTCAACAAGACAGCCGTATTGCCTCCTCAACAGAAATGGAGAGCAACTGAGAATTTTTTATTTTTATTTTTATTTTTATTTTTCCAATTTGGCATTATACTTCATTAGAAGGCAGAAAAAAAATCAACTGCACATCAGAACTAAAATACCCTCATTGATTAATGTGTTTGAACTTTGCTTATTTTTAATCAATTGTTCAGATGAAACATGCAATTCAAAGAGAACTTATTGTGCCACCAACTCTGAAAAATATTAGGCTGATTTTTAAATAGACGTTCATTCAACAATATACAACTGAATTATGTGATACATTCCTATGATTTCTGTGCAAACATTCCAGAGCAATTACCACATTTATACAATGATTCAATGAATGAACTTAACCTGCCTTATTTTTTGGGTAGAATAATAAATTCTTCACAACATCACACTACTTTATACACAGGTGCTTTGTTTATATTTTCTGCACAGAAAGTATACAAAACAAGGTGGTACACCATAGTCATTCTAGAATCCACAGTCACTGTTGTATGATTAAGCTGAAGTATTCTCTAAGAGAACGGTAACCACTGTGTATTGGTGCATAAAGTGGAATATCGCAATAATAAATACATCAGCCTTCCCAAAACATCAACCTCCACAAACAGCAGAGATGGAGAATATTGTAATATTCTTGACTAAATGCCAAAACCATCTAACATGTAAATAGGAATGTGCTGGATTTCACATGGATAAAGTATTTTAAACCTATTTTCCTGTCCTAGAGAAATATTCATCTTATATTACATCTGTTATCGCCTAACCCACAAGACACACATGGAGCCTGTGTCTAGTATGCTGCCTGAGGAACACACTACTTGGCTTATTAAACCTGAGCAGATACAGCTGCACTTAGTCTTCTAACCTTGATACATGATCAAGCATATTGTACACTCTTTTATAGAGAGACAATTACTTCTGCTACAGCTACCAGGATTTTGGTTCAACATTATGCCTTTGTTTTTTCTCAGAAGAAGGAAAGATACCTGATACAACTCATCTCAAAATTTTAATCTAGTCCACTAATGTTTTCATAAGGCAGAAATAGGAAGAAAGTACACAATATAACTATTTTGCAAGGAAGATTCATGTGTTTACCTCTAATTATGGGACTGCAGCTACAATGCACGAGGTTAAACTCCATAGTAAGCTGCAAGGCGCTCTTTTAAGGGAAGAGGAAACTGGTCTGAGAAACGCCTCCAATTCTCATCCCCAACTTGATTTTTAAACCCATGAAGAATCTAAAAGCAATGAGAGGTAAGTAAAAGTAATCAATAAACAGAAGATATAAGATCATTATTCACAAGCAACATATGTAATAGCCTTCAATCCTCTAGACTGCTCAATTATATAGCTGAACTGTCCCACTTACTAGATTTCCTGTAACATTTAATGCCTCCCTTAAAAGAAAGAATCAGTTATGTAACGTAAAGAATTTAGCTATCCATTCCAATGAATATTTATTTATTGAGTAACATGACTTACAGTTTAGAGTAAGCTATTTCACAATGCTAAATGTTTTGTCAAACTACACATTTTCTTTATTATTACTGTGTATGTATTCCATTTGTAAATGTGTTGCAGGTTCTGGAAGAAAAACTGAGTCAGAACCACAGCTGATACTTACAGAATTAATGCCTTTTAATTTCTAGCACAAATTAAAAACAATTCTATAAGAGCTGTGTTTTCCCATGGAACCTGTAGACAACTGTGACTAAAACAGAAGTTGTTAAAATCTTTTATACTTTGAAACAGTAGGGATCTACAGCAGTAAAAAAAAGTCAGCATAAGAGACAAGAAAAATCCCCCCACCTACAGGTTTCAGTCTGGACCCTTCAATACAGGAACTTAACTGACAACTATGAAAATTAAATGATTATATGAAAAGGGGCCTTAGTATTTATGCTCTGAAAACAGCAGGTTAAAAAGCAAACATAAGAACAAAAGCAGGTGCAAAAGCTCTTCCTCACAACAAAACTACTACAGAGTCTCAACATTTAAAAAATTTTCTTTGAACTCAACTATACCTAATTGTGGAATGGCCTGTCAGGATAACATTTTTACAAAACAAGCACTGTCAAATTTAAAGCTCACATTATAGTGTTCACTCTCAATACATCATTTTCAAAGAGAGCTGTCATTGAGCAAGATTTAACAGTAGAGACATCACAATTCATTTAACTATTTTTCTCCATTAAGAGCTCATCCAAAAACAGGTTTCTTTCCTTACCCAAACAGATTAACCAGCTATCAAAACTACAAAAGAGATCTAAAAATGTTTAAGTATGACAAAAAGAACATTTAAAAAATAATATTAATAATTAAATAAATCCTCTTCCAGTATTGTTTTAGCAGATGAACTTCAGCTAGTGTCTTTAGATGTCTCGTCTTCAAAAAAAAAAAGAGAGAAAAATTTTAGGAGTACAAGAGAGAGATCTTTAACACCGACAGCTGCCTTACCCATGCTCTTGGAAGAGTTATTTCCTCTATCAGCTCTAACGCCAACAAACAAAAAATCACACAAAAAGACTTCAGGGGACTATGAAAAATGTTTTTTTTTTTTTTTTCCCATAATTCTTAAATGGCACAATCTGTTATGCAGCTGGCAAAGGGATCCAGTCTAATGAGAAAGTAATCTAAAAAAATCATACGCCATCACTTGATGAAAGTTTTGACTCCATTCTTGCATGGAGATAGACAAAAGAATACACTGTAAAAAGCCATGCACGCTCTCATATAAAGTGGTCAAAACCCACTGTGTCTATTTTGGATGCATTAGATCCTGCATGAATAGCTTGGAAAGAATCTGAGAGGAGTTTAACTTACTGAGGCAAGTACTGAGTGCTAAAGGACCAGTGCAGAACCATGTACTGAAAATGCTTAAAACTATCATCACAGACAGCATCCTGGACTTTCTTTTAAGCTTTTAATATTTGTTATTTCCTTCCAATACTAGAATACTCACCACTGCACATTTCCTGAACCCAATGCTTCTTTGTAGCTACTCAGAGAATTAGTCTGCTAATTTAGGAGGCAGAGTTTTTTGTTTTTGCTCCTCAATATGGTATTTGAAGATTCCAGTTTATGTTCTGATGCTGACGCTTTGAGTTACTTCAAGACAAAATGTAATACTGGCCCATGACCCTAATACATTCTTGGAAATACACTCTATTTCAGCTTTAAGATGAATTTCATTAATTTCTGACATACATCCTTCCTAAAACAAAGATGTTTACTTAACAGGTAAAAACATCTGTTCAAGAAACTGAAATTAGGGGTTTTATTTATTTACTTTTTCTAACTTAAGACATGGAACAGATAATTTCAGGGTGGTGGGCTTTTTGCTTCTTGCTGAATTTACACAATACAGTCACAGTTCTTCTGTGTAATCTTTACTGATAAGCTGTCTAGGACATATGTCCTATATTCAGTGTACACTGGTTCCCTGAAGATCTGCTCATCCAAGATGGAAAACAAAGAGACCAGGATAGCACTGTAATATTTTTCATTTGCATTCTTCTAGATATTTCTTTTAAATAAAGCGGGCTTCTTAATGACAAAAGAAAAAATCTTGAACAATACAGATATCATTTTCTAAAGATGACTTAAATGTGTTATAAATAATCCTGTTTTTCAAAATGCAGTCAAAATGCTGTAGGCTGACATTATGAAAAGCTCTCTGAGGATGATTTTTTTTTTTTAACTAAAATCCTAAGTGAACTTTTCAACACCATTAAAAAGAAGTACGTAGTAACTTGAATACACTTAAGTAAATATAAATTAAAAAAAAAAACAACCTTCAGATTGCTTTGATGTTTTGTCTGAAATTTCATGACTTTGCAAAGAAGCTTCACAAGTACAAGTAGTACTGACTGAAATACACAGCAAGAAAGAAACAGAAGATCCCGAACCATAATCAGGATATATTGATAAGAGATGAGAAGATAAGAGAAACATTACCTTACAGAACATGTCTCGGAGATCATCTTTTGGGCTAATCCACGATGCAACAGCATCACAAAAAAAAATAAAGTCCTATAAGATTAAATAATCACATAGGTTAGAAACCCTAATTTATAGGTCTGGAAACAACGCTCAGCTCATTCTATTAACTGTACAAGATTTTTGATCCTAATTCAAAAACTGATTTTATTTTCAGTTAATGCAGGCAATAATGGTAAATTATTCTACACACAGATGTACAGAAATGTAAATAGAGTTGGGGCATCTTTGTTTGATGAGGTTTATTTAATTAAAAAGCCAAAGTCATATACACAACAACATAAAAGGGCAAACCAAAACCATAGCACCTTTCCTGTCATAACATAACAGCATAACGTAACATAGCTAACTCAAATTCTTTCAGTTCAATCATAGAAATCCCAAAACAAACCATTTTAACATCAAGCAACAAATAAGACCATAAGATCAACTTTGTCTCAGAAATTTCTAGCTGGAAAAAAAGCAGCTGTATTTCTTCAAGCAGAGCCAGAGTTTATTTTAGGGACACACATGACATTCAAAACCGAAGCTATATCATAATCCCTGCAACATAGTTCACCTGTTATGCACTACATTTCTTATTATATTGCTGAGATACCACCCTTCGATAATTGACAGTGCATGTGTGTTTTGATAAGAACCAAAGATAACTACTACAGAGATGGAGATGAAAAAATGAGAGAAGTTCTTAATTTTCTGCTCTCTTTATGTGTGAAAGAATAAATGGACAGCAGAAAAGAAGGGAAATGGCAAGTACAGAACAAACACAAGTGAAATCATCTGAAAAGTTCAGAACAAGAAAGAGGCTCAATTCTTGTGTCTCATAGAGAGGGATTTCAGGCAGAGAAGAAATTCATCTGTATTTTCCTCTCATGAAATGTTACATTGGTATAGCTTAACTTCAGAGCTGTGGAGACTAAAGAGCAAGTAACATTCTATTCTTGACACAAATTTAAAGAGCGTCTTCCTAGTCACATTAACTATGCAAGCAATATATCTGACGTTGAAACAGAATCTTCCCTTCTCAAGTTTTAAGAATGAAGGGGTAGTTAACCATTTTTGTTCTTTTACTTTTTTAAAGTCTAGATTACAGCTGAATGATAGGATTTAATCAGATTTTGCCTTATATTTTCAGAGAGATCCTCTACACAAAATGCTGACAGAAATATTGCATCATTCACAGTGTTAGTCAGTTCATTATTTAGATACACATTTTAAATAGAAGACAAAAAAAATTTTAACCTCTTTTCCTCCTTTTCACTGAAGAACAAATCCAGAATTATGATACATATCTCTGCAATGTAAGTAAACGTTTTGGTCTTCTTGGCCTCAAAATAAAGGCATATCACGTTCTGCACTGAATCAGCATCAACCTAAACCTCTTAGTATTTCATATACGTTTTAAAATACATTTTACGCAAATAAATGAAAAAAACCAGATCTATTCATGCATCTTACTTGGAATACGCCATTGGGGTTGACTGTGATCATGGTACATATCCCACGGAATGCTGAGTCCTTTTCCTCATTGTCTCTTATGTTCCGGAGAGAGGTGCACCTAGTAAGTTAGAGAAAATCTTAGCTAGTTTTATCACGCTTTCATTCAATCAAGTCAGATCTAGATGACAGTATTTGATGGAATAAGCCACACGGATAAAATGACTTGAAACACTATTGAGAACTGTTAGGAAAACAGTTATTGTGGTGTTTACTAGCATATTCCCATTATCTACCATCTCCAGAACCTTGTTCTTCTGTTGCACCATTTATAAAGTGTGACCTGTATTCCATTAAATACAAAAGAAACACATATCTGAAATATTTATAGTAACTATCATTATTAGAAGCAGAACATATAATATTATCACAGTATGAATTATGTCAGATACCACTTACAGAACAGTTATTTAACTTTTACAGCAGCAAGCAAGCTATTTTATACATGAAACAGATCTATAAACATATATTCCTTACAGCATTTCAAGCCTCGGACTGATTTTTTTTAAGTAAAGTAATGCACAGTTTAAATTTTACAGTATTGGCATGCATTGTATTATCATTCTGGTGGATTTTAAAACGCTCTTTCATAGTCAAGCTTTAACACAGCAAGCATGTGACAATCTTATCCCATGCATAAATTAGTCGTTAGCCACAACATAAAAAAATACATGACGGTGCTACTGAAAACTCACAAACCTGATAGGACAAGATTAGTCACATGGTTGGCAATGATTAAGGATTGAGATTTTGTAACCAACTGAAAATATATCTAAAAGTGAGATAGAGAGAAGAAAGAAAGAAAGAGAGTGAAGAAAAATGAATTAAAAAAAAAAAGATTGAATAATACACACCAGGGTCTTATAAACTGCTGTAGCATGGGGGCCACCTCTTGAGGACAAACGTAACCAAGACGACCAATTGTTATTGCTAAGGTAACGCAATCACGGTTATACACCACCAAACGCCAACCAAGACATGAGCAAATGAGGGGGGAGGAGAAAAAATAAAGAAAAAACAACAAATAACTCAGAAACAGAAACCAACAGAATCTGTGTATGATAATAAACATAAGATTTCACCAGTGCTGTTTATTACCACCCCCTAAATAAGAGGCAGCAACATATATGGTATACTTTCCAGGGTAAAAGAAAAATTAAAGAAGTAAATGAGAGAACACCAAAAACACAATTTAAAAACAAAAGTCTTTCTGATTATGTAGTCATTCTGCCCTCTTCACTTACTTTATATTAAATTTACCTAGCACGCACTACTGAGACTTTATTCAAATGTATTAGGGATTGTCTTACTAAAAAGGAATTTTCAGCTTTAATATAAAGTATCCTAAACATTTTTTCAGTATTTAGAAGTCAAGTTTTTAATATGCTTATCTATGACTAATAATATGTTTAGAAGTATGTTTACATTAAATATACTGTGGTCTATGAATGCTAAATAGATGAAAATTATTTTAGAAAACAAAAAAAAATTGTTCTCTTTATAATTTTAGATAATTTAAAGTGGTTGCTAGAGCAACTAACTGCAAAGTTAATTCTTCTTTTCACAACACTCTTCATCATAACAGCCATACAATAATCTGACTTCTGATGTGAAGGCATAAATGCAAAATCGCTTCTTCATATGATTTGGTAATTCAGTCCTTTGTGGAGGGACAGACTGAAAAAATATTTTATAACTGTGTTTTAATGGTGTTTGCTCAACTCACAAAAGATTAATCTTTAGAAAAAGGAGAGGGTGGGGAATAATGTATCAGGATTACTTGAAGCAAAATACATGAATAATACTAAAATCCAGCAGATTTATATGAAGCAGAGAAAGGAAACCTATGTTCAAGGGACATACTACGCAACACTCTAATTAAACAGGCAATTGTGAACAGTTTCATGAAACATGCAATAAAGCAGATGATGCTTTCTCCAATAAAAGTTTGGTGTAGGATATACCAGTAGTACGAATGTTAACAATTCCACAAAACCTGCTGCTCACTTGCAATATACTATTTCAATACATGGGATCTAAAATTTTCAGCAGATATAACTCATTAAAATGTATTTGAATTGCTTTTCAAATACAAGTTTCAAGTTAAAATACACTCAAGTTTTATCCATAAGTTTTCACAGCTACAGTTTGTACAAGAAATAGAAACTTCTGTCAAAGATCAAGTTTTTGACACATACTCACTTTCAGTACTACTGCTTTTACTGAACATAGTCTCCTGTTTCTATAAAAGTGTGCTCATGGCTCAGTACATAGCAAGCTAAAGCAGAAAACAGTAATACTCTTGCACATACCAGTGATATGCAGCACAATATCCCACAACAAACTTATAGTAAGTACACCACACTCAACATTTATCTGCAGTTATGCATCCACATTTAAAGTAACTATTAAGAGAATAAAGAAAGTGTCAGTGTTCGGATGCTTCCAAAAATTCCACAACAGGGATAGAAGCAAAAGTTTAAGCATTGGATGCCTCCCAGTTACAGGTATTACACATCCATCAGTGAAGAGGAAAGGGGGGCCAGGAGTGTGGGGAGAAGGAATTTACGCTGACATACTATCTCATGGTCTATTTGAAAACAAGTACATATTTGCTCCAAAATTATCTTTTCAAAAGGCAGTATCTATTTTATCCCACAGCTATGTAGTTTTCCTTCAAGTTCACCTTCCATACTAAACTGAGAATAGTAGAAGAGATGTAGCTAAAGCACAGCCTTTACATTAAGAGAACACCAGAGGAGAAATACACATTGAAAATCAGTCACCAATTTACTTCATGATAAGCATAAAACAAACTTGCATAATTTTCAATCTTGTCATGTTATAATGACTAAGTAATATTTTCTTACAGGACAATAAATTTTCAGACAAAAAAAGGATTCTCAATTAGTAAATGAGAAACCTGTCAGATTATTAATAAAATTCTGTTTGAAGTATGGAAGGTGTTCTTCCTACCAGAACGTGCGCTCTATAAATGCAAAAGAAACAAGCCTCAGAAGTTCCAGCACTGTTTGGGAACTCTTTCCAGTTTGGAAGGCACAGCTGTTGGCCAGAACACAAATCACGTGTGCCAATTTTAGGCTTGCTTTCAGAATTACTCTTCTTTTATTTTACTTTTGTTTGTTTATAGTGACCAGGTAGAAGTTGTACATGACTTCAGCTATATTGGAGTAAAAATGCCATCACAGATCTAGATTTTGGTGATCTCACAAATCAGTATTTTAGAAAACAGTGTTGTCTTTTGTTTCTTGTTTGTTTGTTTGTTTGCTTTTTAAATTCAAATTATCTATTATTTGTTTTATATACACTGATTGTATTCGTTTCAAACACTGGAGATAAACATACACAATGCACACGTGTAACGATTTCCATATGTTTAAATAAGGCTAATATTAGGTTATAAGTGTTACTGTATATATATGTTATATGTAATTCATACATAATACTTAAGAATACTTAAAAAAAAAATCAAATAGATGACTGTTATACTAAGTGTTATAGAGGTGAGAAAGCAACAACTTTAAGAATCCAGATATACAATAGAAAATTTAATGCAAGACTGAGACTTGTAGGAGCTTTTGCAAAACAGAGTTGTTTTTGCTTAAAAAAGCCAAATACATTGCAATACAATCAGTTCTGGTGTTATTCACCTACGTAATTTTTAAAATAAAAAAAAATAATCCATAATTCCTTCAGCACAAATGCTTCAGTTTTTGGGTACCTGTGTTCTCTAACAATGTCTTTGGTGTGTTGGGTCTGTTAATTATTTCTACAAGCTGGTGCAACACCATTGGAATATAAGGCTGCATCTCTATACCTGAAATAGTCAAAAAGAAATATTTAGAAAAAAATGATTGTTAATATATATCCAAGTAGATTTCATACATTGAATTTATTATCAAGGACAAATCTCAACCTTAACTTAAGTTTTAACATGAAAGTATCAGTAAAAACTAAAAACAAACAAACAAAATCAAAACAGACTAAGCATGCAAAATGTGCAAAGATTCAAAGAAAAAAAAGCTTACCCATCTGAATGGAGATTTCTCCAATTGCCCAGGTAGCATTGTTACACACAGAAATGAATTCAGGGTTTAGGTTGGTTCCCAAAATGGGCATGAAATCAGCTAAAGAGAACAATATTAAAAAAAAAAAAAAGTGGTTTTTTTTTTTTTTTAATCATTTGAACCTATTTAAATACGTGGAAAATGTTACACATGTATTAATGAGAGCTGCATTTCTGCTATATATCAGATAAACTCAGATTTTAGAATCCAAGTAGATGAACAAATCTTTTCAAACTATGATTCTAAAATGCTTCTAAATAGGCTTTATCTTTATGCAATTCTATAAACCCTTTTTCTCCCCTTTCCTAACTGGAGTAAAGGGGAGAAAGCAAAAGCAACTCAATAACAAGCACTTGTAGTTTTATAACATGGTTGAACAATCAGTCCTCGAACCACTTAGATAACTACATATTCAAGCGTACTAACAACAAAAGAAGAACCCAGAAGGCAATCACATCTATCACTGTAACATCTGCTACTTGAAACTTTACATTCCCAAGGCTATCAAAGCATACATTTGGCAAAGTGCGTATCAAGAACATTTGAAGGATGAGATAGCAAATATTGTGGAATCATGTAATCGATGTTACATTCCTACTTAAGACAAAACAAAACAAACACCAAGAACAAACAATGCCCAAGACAAAACATGCCTTCTAGCCAAGTTCTCCTCTTTCACTATAGATCACGGTATTATAGAATGGCTTGGGTTGGAAGGGACCTCAAGGATCAAGTTCCAACCCCCTTTCTGCAGGCAGGGTTGCCAAGTGCTACACCAAATACTAGATCAGGCTGCCTAGGCCATCCAACCAGGATGAGAGAGAGAGACAGGGCACCCACAACCTCTCTTGGCAGCCTGTTCCAGCACTTTATCAGTCTCTCAATGAAAAATGTACCCTGACTTCTAACCTAGATCTCCCCTCCTTTAGTGTAAAACCATTTTCCTTCATCCTATCACTATCTACCTGTGTAAAAAGTTTATTATCCTCCTGTTTATAATCACCCCCTAAATACTGGAAGGCTGTAATGAGATCTCCATGCTGCCTTCTCTTCCCCAGGCTGAACAAGCTCAGCACCTTCAATCTTTCTTCACAGGAGAGGTGATTCAGACCTCTAATCATCCTTGTGGCCCTCCTTTGGACTCTGCAAAAGCTTCACATCCTTCCTTTGCTGGGGGCCCCAGACATGGATGCAATATTCAAGAGGGGCCTACCAATGGCAGAGATGGACAATCACTTCCCTCACCCTCATGGCCAGTCCTCTTAAGATGCAGTCCAGGATACCATTGGCATTCCAAGCTCCAAGCGCACACTGCTGGCTCATATTAAGTTTTTCCTCTACCAGGATGCTTAAGTCCTTCTCAGCAAGGCTACTCTCAAAGAATTCTCCCAGTCTGTACACATATATATGGGATTACTTTGATGCAAGTGCAAAACTTTGCACTTTCCTTTGATGAACTTCACTGGGTTCTTATGGGCCCAGCTTTTGAGTTTATCAAGGTTCTTCTGGATGGCATTCCTTCTACCATATCAACTGCACCACTTAGCTTGGTGTCATCAACAAATCTGCTGAGGATACTCTTGATCTCATCCTCTATGTCACTGATAAAAATGTTAAAAAGTACCGATCCCAAGACAGACCCCTGAGAGACATGGCTCATCAACAACCTCCATCCGGACATAGAGCCATTGACCATAACGCTCTGGATGCAAACTTCCAGCCAATTCCTTATCTACCAAATACTCCACCCTTTAAATCTCTTTCTCTCCAATTTAGAGATAATGATGTGGTGAAAAATCATATCAAAAACCTTGCAGAAGTCCATGCAGTTTCTGTGATAGCAATAAGATCATAGTTTTCCATCAAATGCAATTTCCTAGCTTCTCATGTTTATTTCCTACACCGCAAGCATTGGTATAGAGGCACTTCAGCTGAGCTTTTAGATGCATTACTTTTCTAGAGAAGTACTCCCACAAACTTCCAGGACAAATCCAAGGTTTTCCTCTGTTGCGTCTTAAATTAACTGTACTCCCTTATCTCTCTGTCATTCTGTATTACAGCTCCTTCCCCCAGTAGCTTTAGTTTAAAGCCCTAGCGATGAGCTAGTCAGCTTGGTGCCCAGTATACATGGTATATCTATCTATAATTTTAATGTAGAGTTCAGTTAAAAAACAAAAGTAAGAGGTACAAATTCAGAAATTTATCAAATGAAGCAACTGTTGTAATTAAGTTTAAGTAAATCTTTTTATATATTCCAGCATAACAGGCAGTTTTTACATTGTAAAAATCAAGCAACAAAATGAATTCTTTACACTGTCTAAAAAAACCCATCTTTTAAACACACAGTTTGAAGGAAAAAAAGCCACAGTCCCTTGCTGGTAAAGAAATATGAAAATATACAACATGACAAGGCAAGACATAGATAAAAAGAGCTTAACAGTGGCTAAAGGAACATTTTATCAGTCTGTAAAACAAGTTAATTGTTTAGTATCAAAGGAAACATACCGATGCAAGGTTTAACATGCTGAAAACACGCCTTTGTCAGATCACCTAACAGCGCAAAAGAACTCTGTCGTACTTCAGGCATTTTATCCTAAAGAGAAAAAGAAGAAATGTGACAATTCTTGAAGTGTTTCTGATCATCTTAAAGAAGATCCTTGGATTAATCAGTTTCTCATCTCACCTGCATGCATTGGTACATCAGTGTCAGGATATTGCTCCGAGCTACCAGCTGCTCAATGTTGCCTCCAAGACCTTCAGCTAAACCACTGAGTAAATCAAGAGCCACAATCATGAAGTCCTTATCTGGAGCCTCATATTGGTCTGGTTGAGCATTGTGCAACTGCAGCAAATAAACATGCATTTTCAGAATGAGAATTACATTTTCTCAGGGACATGCAAAACTGTAAAAAACAGTTTCAGAGATTCAGTGTTATACTATAGATGTCCCTGGCAACCCCTAACTTTACATAGTTCATAGAAACATAGAATCATCTGAGTAGGAAAGGACCTTTAAAGGTCATCTAGAGTCCAACTCCCCTGCAATGAACAGGGACACCTATAGCTAGATCAGGTTGCTCAGAGCCCCATCCAGCCTGATCTTGAACGCCTCTAGGGATGGGACATCCATCACCCCTCTGGGCAATCTGTTCCACTCCCTCGCCACCCTCACCGTAAACGACTTTTTCCTTATATCCAATCTAAATCTCTTCTCCTTAAGTTTGAAACCACTTCTCCTTGTCCTATTGCACCAGACCCTCCAAAAGAGTCTGACCCCTTCCTTCTTACAGCCCACTTTCACATACTGGAATGCCACTATCAGGTCTCCCCAGAGAGACCTGACAGACTCCCTATTTTTCTCCAGGCCAAACAGCCTGTTCTCATTGGAGATGTGTTCCACCCCTTGAATCATCTTTGTGGCCCTCCTCTGGACATGCTCCAACATGTCTCTCCTGTACTGCAGACTCCACAGCTTGATGCAGCACTCCAGGTGAGGTCTCATCAGTGCAGAGCAGAGAGGCAGGATCACCTTCCTCATTCTGCTGGCCACACTTCTTTTGATGTGGCCCAGGACGTGGTTGCCTTCAGGACTGTGAGGACACACTGCTGGCTTGCATACAGCTTGTTTTTGACCAGTAACTCAAGTCCTTTTCAGTAAAGCTGTGTTCCATCCTTACATTCCCCAGCTTACACTTGACTTTGTTGAACCTCATGAGGTTCTCCTGGGCCCACTGCTTGAGCCTCTCTAGGCCATACATTGTTTTAATGAGTTACTCTGAAAACATTGGAATAGCAATAGAAAATTACCATGGCTTGTGCAAGGGTCTTCTGCACTAGATTTACACAACGCTGGTACACAGGTTCACAGTATGGAAGAAAGCCAGATTGCAAGGCAGTAGCAACTGACGACAGGCACTGGAATTAAAAGAAGGAAAATAAAAAAAAAAGAGGGGGGAGAGACAAAGAAAAGTCAAATCTATAACTGTGAATGCACAACCCAGAATGACTGTAGCAATTAGCTCAGCCATTAAAAAAAAACTTTTTTTTTCTTTTTAAATAAAGATAAGGAGATCGTTAGGGAAAACACATAAGAATGGTACAATATAAATACAAGTGGCTTCTGCTACAAGCTTTACTGTAAGCCCTTGCAGTTACACATCCTAGTAGGTAGTTTCTTGAGCAAAAAGCATAACTCATAAAGAGAGCTGATATATGATATTCAAATTTTAACTTTTACCTCTAATAAAGGGAAGAGATCCTTATCTTCATCCTTCAACATGTTCCACTTGTGGATTAACGGGGGCATGAGCATCTGAATATATTCCTGTTCAGGATAAAAATGCATCAGCTGGTTACTTAATTGCATGCTGGTTTATTTCAAAGTCAGAACATTGATATATTAAAAATCATTTCTACTTTTTCAGCAAAAGAAAACTGATGTGCTGCAAACCAAACACTGTAATATGCACAAGTAGTTTAATATTAGAGTTTATAAGTTAATTACATTCTCAGATTTTTTTTCACTGAGACATGTAATCACCTCTGAAGAGTGGAGTTTTTCCCCCATGTTTGGTGTCAGTTTTGCAACTTCCCATAACTGTCTGGGTTGTTACAAATTTATAACTGCCTGTGAATTTATTTACTTTTTTTCAATCAGCACTGCAATTGCCACTTGCATTTCTCAATCATTTCACATTACCCTGCTGTACAAATTACCCCATATTCCTGAAACTTCATCCTCAAGCAACTAACCATGCATGAAGTCATTTTCTATCCATCTAGAAAGATAAACTTAGTCACTCTGTAACAAGCTGTTTGATCTTCTCTGCCACTGTTCAGTCACAACGTCAAGCAAGGCATCCCTACTGTTAGTGCCACTGCTCCCAGAAGATATCTGAATAGCCAACAAGAACTTTCCGCTAATCCTATGTCCAAAACCACAATATTCAAAGTGACTGAAGAAAGTCCCACCATCACCAAGATGATTCCCATTTATCTTCCTCTAGGCTATATGAATGGTTCCCATTTATCTTCCTCTAGGCTATATGAAAAGGCCAAAGAGATGTCCTTTCATGGTGGGATGCCTTGAACAGCAAGTAAAGTGCTATAGCAACAACTCTGATTGATTTATTCTAGTGGATCTATGTCACATGAAGCACTACAGAGAAATAAAACAAATTTTAACAGCCATCATAAGAAGATGCATACAATATGTGACATCTACACATTCTACAAACAAATGTATGTTGCAGAAAAAAACAGCAAAATGCTCCATACTAGAGTATTGGCCTTTGCATTATCTGTGCTTTTCTTATTTGTAAGTTGGATATCTGTTCCACTCTAATACAATTTCTATTGACGATATGCTCCACTACATAGGCAGACACGCAGAGCAGCTAAAAGTAGTTGAAAAAAAGAAACTGGTCATTAGAAATTAACATACATTCCAGCAATTCCTCTTAAATCTGACTTAATATTTATACTGATACACATATCTCTAAGCTGAAAAAATCTGAAAATGAAGTAAACAATCACAACAAGAAGCACATTACAGAAACCAGAATACTTAGATCCATTGTTACAAAATTTGGAATATTTGCATAGCGGGTAAAGTAAATGCAGCTTATGTATTTTTCATGCAAACATTCAGTACCATCAAAACCTACAAGGAAAGGTCAGTATTTCTGTTTTGGAATGTGTAAAACACACTATAAATGTATGATGAGCATTTTCATAGAACGTAAGGTATACTCACTGGTTTATTTAGATGATGGCCTACAGAATCTGCTAGAGTTCCTATAGCATCATAAAGAATAAGCAGGTTTTTATGCTGGTATTTACTAAATGCGAAGACCAAAGTGTCAAGTATATATGCAAGATAAGGAACAAGTTCTGTACAAGCCTCCTCTTCTAGAGTAGCAAAGGCACTGAGGGACAAGAACAAAAACCAAAAACCATGTTAGTCAGTACCTTTGGGAAGAAAAAAAAATCCACACCAAAAACAACAGTACAAACTCCAAACACCCCACATTCGCCATTTCTTTTTAACATAAAACTTCATTCATTCTAGGTATGTTTTCAGAATTGTTAGACTGAGGTTACTGCAGTAATATTTTGATTGAATACATAAGGATCTTGTATTATGATGAACAAAATTCAAGTAATTGCTGTAAAAACTATAATGTATACACATAAAGCCTACTGTGCTGCCAAAAGCATTACTGTATACAAGTTACAGTGTTTTAACTTAAATAGTAGGAAACATAATTAAAGTTGCCCATTTTGAGCTAAAAAAAAGCCTATATATTTAACACGTGCCGCAACTACAACTGAGGCCTAAATGCTCTTGTACCAGTACAATACTGGCATCTCTTTCACGGGAGTACACTGCACTGAAAAACAGGTACAGAGAGACAAAGAAAACGAAAGTAAAAATGAGGATTGAACAAATAATTTCAGCCACCCTTGGTCAAAAAACACTTCATGGCATCAAAGAAACTTCATGCCTATCAAGTGATTGTGAATGACAGCACTAAAAGACATGCTGCTTCAGAAAAGGAATTAAAGGAAAAAAATCAAGAACTACTGATGATTTACTGCTCTAACTTGTGTCAAGAAGACTCAGTCAATCCCAACACTAAAAATGTATGCAACACCGTAAGAGGTGAACAATCCCCTACTACTCTGATACCAAATACAGAAATGTTTTTTACTTAAAACAGTGGAACTGTAAACACTAAATGGCTATTTTACTTACATACCTATAGTACTAATCTTATTTAAAATTATTTATTATATTACTTTGATGTATTCAAAATACAAAAAAGATATAGAATGCAAGCAGGAAAATGTGTTTCAATGAAATATCTTTTCAAGTGTCTTCAACTGAAGAAACACTTTCCTCAGTATCACAGAAGTGAGAGTTAAACATCTGCAATGATACACAAGTAAGTGATGAAAACATCTTGTATTCTGTGAGCAATTTTAAATATAGCAGACAATGATTTGTGCAGCTGTAAGGATGTAGGTTTTAGCTTCTCTCCAAGAAGGATCATTATACTGCTATTTATAAAATTACTAAGTACATTTTTATGTGTAACAGTTCTACATCTTCCTTAAAGTGGAATTTCCTGAACTATTTTAACTGCAACAATGTTTTTCATGAGATCATCTCTGCTGTAAAGACAGCATTTCAAAGTAGAGTATAAGTCTAATGCTGGCTAAATACACACAAAAAAAGATCAGGTGCATCACTGTTTTTAATATTTCCATTTTAGCTCTACTGAAAGGAGAGATACTTTTGTTTCTTATAACAGTTTCCACTGCATATTACATCATTCATAAACTTTCCATAAGGGCACTGAACAAGTGCAGCACAGCTGTATTTAACTACACACACATTTCAACCATGTTTTTAGAAAAGGTGAGCAGGAATTTGGAAGCGTTTTTCTTTGTTTGATTCTGCTTTTTTTTTTCTTTTCTTTTTTTTCCCTTTCCTTTTATT